TCCCTTCTCCTCCCCCTTTATCTTTCCTTTCCCGGTTTCTAACCTTTCTCTTTATCCTTTGGAACACTTATACAACAATATCTTTTAGCAAATATCTTCATACATAGACAAACAAAAGGTTCCCATCGAGTACGATGGATGTGATGGGTGCTAATATCTTCCCTTCGCATAAATGTCCTTCGAATCCTTTCTCATGGTTGCGAGACCATCTTATCTGTTTCACTTTTGGGGTTTTCTCGGTGTTTCCCCTTCCCCTCATGGGATAAATAAAGTTCGATGGCGACTCTTCTGTCTTTCATTCTCACCTCTCCGTCGTTGCATTTTTTCGACTAGCAATAGTTATCAAACCTTGTTGCACTAGTGAAAGGTACAACTCGGTATAAGTCATCACAATGGGAGGACACAAAAGTATATACTATCTTCTTTTAGGAACATTTTGGCGAGGTGCCTGATTCTTTGGTTGTTGATAGGCAGGAGCGTTGGGCGCTCGTTGATAATTAATGGAGCTTGTGCAGGCCGATAACCAGGAGGACATTGATAGACAGGTGGCTGATAAATAGGAGCCAGTTGCACAGGCTGGTATGCAGGAGCTTGTTGATTGAAAGCAGGTGTAACAGCAGCCACATACAGTTGTTGAGCAAACTGAACAGGATAACCTTGTGGTTGAACATAGTTTCACTGACGTTGCCAAGGTTGACTTTTTCTTCTATTCGACATTAAAGTGTTAGTTTCACTCTTTTTCTTCTTGTGAGATCTAAATGAAGGCTTCTTGGCATGGTCCTTGTTGGAGTTTGAACTACCATCAGTGCTTGGCATTTTTCCACTCTTCAAACCCAATTCTACCTTTACACCACCAACAACAATATCAGAAAAATTTGCAGTCACACTTCCAACCATTCTTTCATAAAACTCAGGACGAACAGTGTCGACGAACCAGTCAGCTAACTCTTTTTCAGTCAAAGGAGGTTCCACTTGTGAAACAGTCTCTCTCCATCTCTGAGCATATTCCTTGAACAATTCAGAACTCTTCTAGGACATACTCAATAATTGCCTTTGATCAGGAGCCAGGTCCATGCTGTATTTATAATGTTTGATGAAAGCATCGGATAGATCTTGGAAACTTTTAATGCAAGACTGATCCAGACTTAAATACCACTTTGATGAAGCACCCTTCAGACTGTCTTGGAAACAGTGAATCATCAGCTTATCATTATCAATATGAGCGACCATTTTTCGATAATACATGATCAAATGACTTTTCGAGCATGTAGCTTCTTCATAGTGATCAAAGCTAGGAGTTTTGAATTTTTAAGGGATAACCAGACTAGATACAAGACACACTTCTCTGGCAGCAACACCAAAGATTTGTTCTCCTTCCATCATCCTCAACCTTTTGTTAATAATTTCCATATTTTCTTTGAGTTTCTAATGATGCTCATCTTCATCTTCCCTCATGTCAGGGGCATCATATAATGGTTGATGTTCATTGAATTAGGGTTGCACATGGGTATGCATAGCAGCTGGTGCAAAAGTTAGAATCACCTGAGGCGTTTCGGTAAACAAAGGAATAGCTTGTTGGACTTATTGAACAATGGGAACTGCAGTAGGTGCAAGCACAAAACCTGGTGGAAGACCATATGGAGATACACTTGCAGTAGTAACAATAGCTGGTTGAGGATCCACAACGGTGTTGGAAATCTCAGAAACAACAGTGGACTGAGCATCCATCTTTGCGCGCATAACCTGCAATATCTCTATGATTTTCCCTACACTTCCCCGGATGTCTTCTAATTCATTCCTGACGCGATCATGTTCTTGATTATGTTTCGCTATCCTTCTACGAGCTTGAGCTCTGGTGTTGTACGGGCGGAGAGGATTCGGGGTGAAAGAACTGGAGATGAGACAACGAGAATGAGCGAAAAAGCAAGAAGAAGATGCACATGCAAAGACATGAATGCAATGTCATGCAATGGTTTCAAGGAATCCAAAAGCAAGTTGCAAAGGTTTTTTTTTTAAAAAAAAATAAAAAAAATTCATTTTAAACTCATGATTTTTATTGGATTTGCAAAGGAAAGAACAATTGAATTCCTTGAAACCGAAGTGTTATGAATGCTTGATTTCACAAACACGCGTATACAAATATACACATATACAGATAAGCAGACAAAGACCTAAGTTAGAGGGTCATAAGCATGGGGTCATGGTCTATCCATCCTGAAGGGCGTGTACTAAGGGTTACTGTACCTGCAGAACAAGGGTTCTAAGAGGTTCCCAAAGTCATCAGTCTATCTTTCAGATATTATAAATTTCTTGAATACTCGGTGGTTAATAATATTCCTCAAGAGAACCTCTTTTGAGTGTAGTATCGCGTATCAACTATTTTGGGACTACTCCCTCATAGTCATTGCACTACGTCCTAAGAAAGGCCAAAGTTGTGTTAAGGGTAACTAAAGGTTCCCAGTATCACAGGCTCCTAGGTCGAAAATAGTAAGTGTTTTCATGAATACTCGTTCAACAATATCATTCCCAAGAGGGCCTCAACTGAGCGGTGATTCTCAAGTTAGCTTGATCGGAAATCATTCCATATAAGCCTTCTTAAATATATCAACTTCCTATCGTAAGTACACCCACATCTGGGTATAAGACTTATCTCACAATAGTATATAACCCAAACAGGTACAATCATATAAATATATATACAAACAGATATTCAGCAAATAACATAAATAAACAAGTTAGGGGTAACCCTTGAAAATATAAATCCCCAGTGAAGTCGCCATTCCTGTTGTAGTGAGAATCGGATATCAAGCTATTAATTAACTTGAATCTTTGATTTGTTGAAATTCACCACCAAGCTTTGATTTATCCAAAGGAATGTGGAAAGAACAAAAAAAACCCTAATTGCACTGTAAAAATAATGTGGGAGATCTAAGATTCGCAGGTTGGTTATACCTAGGGAAGATGTTAGCATCCTAAGTATCTGTAGTACTCTACATGAACCTCTTGTTTTGTATGTGTTATTTGTTAACTGCTATATGTTATCTGTTAAAGGTTTGAAAGAATACCTAAAGGGTTAGTCCTAAGTATGCTCGCCAAGACGTCGCATCTCGTGCCTACATATCCTGGCGGGAATGGAATCAGAGCATTCGTAGTTTCCCTCAAAGAGGGTGAGGAGCTCTTGACTATGGTCAAGGTCCCAGGGGGAAGTAAGTTTCCATAGTGAGACACTTACATGGAGTGTGATGACTCCAAGTCTAAGTTTATGTTGAAAGAAAGGTAAGTATCCATGGCATGAACTTACATGGAGTACGGCGACTCTTGGTCCTAAGGTTAGGATGAAGGATAAGGATCTAAAATTTTCCAAGACCGACATGGAATTCAATGGGAGGAGACCTTTTCCTTTCCTTTGGGATGTGTGATGGTGTTTTAGATTTAAAAAAGATTAGAAGTATTGTCAAAGTATTTTTGTATTTTTGAGAAAAGATTTTAGTTTTAAGCGGAAATAAAACTAACCTAATTCTAAAGATCTCAGATAGATTTAGAGAGATTATCCTATGAGTCTCATGCAAGAAAGTTCATCCTAAAGTCTATCTTGAGTCAATTAGTAAGGGAATAAATTGAATTCAGAATATCCTAAGGGGAACACAGCAAGCCAAGATTGTCAAGGATCTGCGTCACAACTTCGCAAGGTCATGGACAAATTAGAAATCAAAGTTGTCACCAGAATTAATCAATTAGAATTTTAAGAACTCCATTTAATCAATTAAAAAAATCTGATTAATCTAAAATTAACATTACTATCTAACAATAAAAATATTAAATTCAAATTGTAAAAAAATACATGAAAATTAAATAAAATATAACTGATTTCTTTTTTTTTTTTAAAACAAACATGGGTCAAGAGCCCATTCCTCTCGAAAAACACAACGATTAAAAAAATAAAAAATAAAACCCAAACAAAAGTTGGGCCGAGTAGCAGCGGCATGCGAAATGAGGAACGCATATGGGTATCAGCCACAACCTCATTCAAAATATTCTTCACCATGCAATATTGTCATTCTCACCATTCATATTCTCACCTTCATCATCTTTATCTCTCGTAGTGAAACCAAATCCCCAACTCTCAAATCAAACTCTTTCGTGCACACGACAAAGATAGGACCAAGAAGTTTCATTCACAACTCCGCTCGCGGTCTCGTCCACCCTTCTCTCACGACCAAATGAGGAACTTTGTCGCGCCATGGCTTGGAGCCGGCGGATGCAGAGAGATTTTGACAATGCAATAACCTCCCTCAGGTGACCTCACTCTTGAATTCAATTTGAAACCCTCAAAAGCGAAAAAAAATAGCAAGGCGGAAAAAGAAATTTATGAACTAGAGTCGAATTACTTATAGCAAAATCACGTATGTGTACTTCGACTTTACGATTGTATACTTCGGCTTTGCGCTTGTTTGCTTTAGCTTTGCGCTTGTTTGGCTGCAATGAATGGATGATATTCGTGTCGTAATTGTGTCGTTTTCGTGTTTTCCTTTGAATTCCTCTATTTCTTACTTCTTATTTTTCAGATTCTATGATTGTGGCGCATCTTGTATGTTTTCTTCAAATTGTGCGCTAATGAATGGATTCTGTTGTGCGAATTTTTCTTCTTTTATAGGCAATTTCCAAAACACTAATCTTGAATACTTCCTTGTTTTGGACTGACATATTTTGCAAGAATTAAAAACATTCCTTTCCATTTGACTTTTGTTTGGGACATGTTTTAATCTTGTTTTGGAAAAAAATATGCTTGTCTTGGACACATAACTGTTGCCATGATGGTAATTCACGGCTTATTATTTTCGATTAAAACATGTTTTGTTTATGTGTTGATTGTGAAAACCTGCCATATCCTCCTTTATCGCATATGTTTTTTTCGTGGTTTCCTTTCTGTTTTGTAGCAGCTGTTGTCGTGAACGGAGGCTGTTATTCCTTCTTGTGAGAGCCGAAATGTCACGAGGAATATGTCTTGTCGTCGTAACACTAATCATCATCAGTTACATGTCATTCAAGATTCCTTTCCGACACCATCGGCATCTGTTTATGGATTGTTTTTTCGTGATCAAATGTATGAGTTAAGACGCAAAAAATGTACTTGTGAGCTTTATGGTGTCAAACTTCTCGGCTCGACTAACTCAGTGTAAGTATGTGTCCGTCATAACTAAATCTTTTGCTTCCCTTCTTTTGAGTCCTTGTATTGATTCAAAATTCTTTCTTGTGACATAGATGCAGCCACCGTTATAAGGATGGAGGGCACCTAGTACGACGTATAACGATATCCATTATGAGGGCTTCAGGAGAAAGCTTTTGGAAAGAAAATTTCCAAGAACATGATTACTGATAGTGTATTAAGGACGTATTTTTATCATTCATTCATTATGCTAAGAATTAAGAAATGTGTAGACTTAAAACTCCTTGTATTAAAATCATGTACTGACTGTGTTGGGAAACGACTTACCATGCTTCCCGTGTTGCCTTGAGCTTTAGGATTCTTTTACAAGAATTTCACAGAAGCATGTTTTGGACCTGATTTGGTGATGATATTTTCCATTTTTCAATTCCTTGTTATTGATGATGATGGTCATAAAGGTTTGGATTGTGTGTTGATTGTAAATTGATGAAGATGATTTCTCATGCAGGCTTTGGAGCTTCTATTAATGATGGGATTCTGCTAAAACAGAGGCAGCATTTAACAAAAGTCCTACTTTAGAAATAGTCAATTGGCCTTGGAAAAGTTGTGCAGCAGGCCTTACTCCATATCCACTCCATATCCACTCGTGTATCATGTCATCCAATTTATTCTCCTTTTATTTCTCTTTGCTACTTGACGTGCCTTGGTGGTTTAAAATTTAAATATTTGTAAATCTTCAAAAAAACATAAAATTTTGCAACAACTTCTTGAACCTTGCATATGTAAACTTCCAGCTTTTAAATTTCCTTTCAGGTGGCCTTTAGAAAAAAGATTATACTAGTACTTGAATCTTGAACTTAAATTAATGAATCATAACTATTATTTTTCTCACTCAAAAACTCCGGCCTTTAAAACTTGAGAATTTTATCAAGTCTTAAAGCTTTGCGAAAACCAAAAGAGTTAACTTGAGCTTTCATGAATATTGGGTTTGGTCTTTGAATGGTGACGAAATTGCAAATCATTCTTTTAACACTTTTGAGCTTTGTAAAATTTCAATCCTTGCATTTTTGTAAATGAAACTCATAGAAATTGATCCTTGAAATTTTAGAGGTTCAAACTTGAAGTTATTCATGGTTAGAACTCTCTTGGACTTGATACAATGAGCTTAAGTTATGAAGCTTTGAACCTTTAATTTGGCATGAATTTAGAATTTAAGTCTTTACTAAACTTGAGCTCTATAACAAATTGAACTTGAATTTTGCTTCTTGAATACTTGAATTTTGTGAAGAAAATGCGTTAATATGCCTTGAGCTTTAAGTGAATTTTACATCACTTATCATCTTAAACTTCTTGAATAAAAGCTTGAATAATAATGACTTGAATCTCGAATTTGGAAACAATGACTTGAATTTACTTGCATAGGATAACCTTAGAACAAAACTTGTATATGTCTTGAATTTAAAGAGTTTGAGTCTTGATCATATTGCTTGAATTTGGAATTAAACTTCGAATCTTAGCATTTAAGGCATGAACTTCACGATGACATCAACAATGAATCTTCATCATTCTGAGATCTCACAGCGAAAACTTGATCCAAAGTTCTTATTCAAAAACTTGTAACCTCACGATATCAACAAGAAAAAAATTCCAATCCTTTCTCTTAAGATCGAAAAGCCATAATAATTTAACTTCTTAGATAGGGATAGTACTAAACTCAATTCTTCAAATCAAATGCAAATCCAAAAACAACACAATCTAAACTAATGAAGTCTTAATTTATACCACAAAAATATATTCTTTCGTCCCTTCTTGAAAACAAAGTACCTCAAACTGGTCAACAACACACAATACATCAATGTCCTTAAATAACCATGCTTCGAACCAATGGGAAGGAACTTAATCTTCTTTGGGAAATCTCTGATACATCTTGAAGAAAATTGGTCCTGTATTGGCCAAGGGACTGTAAGAATGAAAACACACCCTTTTTCAAAAGTTCAACATAACTTGCAGGGGACGGACACACACAAAGCCTTCATGACCTCTGAATTTTTTCAGCAACCTATCTTCACAAAATAGACAAAACTGATAAAACGGTTAACTCATGCATGGATGATTGACTTAAGATGATATGCAACAGATCAAAGAATCTAAGGGTAAAATTTGGGGTATAACAGTGGCATTAAGCTAAAGTTGGAGAAGCTGGGTCCTGACAGCAAGAGATTCCCATCGTTTTCTTGGTCTTTCAGTCGACCAGCACCTTCACTTAAAGACTCATAGGAACTAGCCAATATCATTTCACTCAGGAAAATGCCTCGATTAAGGTGCAATTGGTTTCCCAGAGTTAGGTATTTCCTGGCCACTTGCAAAGATTTGGTGCAAAATACACAGCGAGAAAGCCACATAGCCAAAAATACTATGTGCTCTTGAACTTCGACTGTGTCAGCTTGTTTGTCATGGTAATGGTTTATGAAATGGATGCAAGTGTGTTTGGTGGTTGAGAACCCTATGGTGTCTTGAGCATCTACCTCAAGGTCATAAACTAATCTATGTGGTTTTATCCCTGTAATAGCGGCTATGTCGAAGAGGGCGGGTGTCATCATCCCACCAGGGAGGTGGAATGTTTAATGGGTACTATCACAAAAATACAAAGAAGAAGCTAGAAGAGTCGGACAGTAAGCGGGATCTGTCTTCGACATCATGATCAGGCCATAAATCCGTATTTCCTTCTAAGTTTCTGCTTTGACTTTTTCTACTTTGGTTAACCGGTTTAAGTAGAGGTCAGTATCTTTGAAATATGGGGTTGCTCTAAACAACCTAGACACATCATTCGAATACTTTAAATCTATGTTTTTTAGGGCTACATTATCATGAGGCTCAGCGGTTACCTTAGCCTGATCCTTTTTCCCTAAGGGTTTAGTTTTATGGTATGAAGGGAAGAAGTCACTAATGGTTGCATAATCTACACCTAAAGTAGATAAAAGACCAGATAGAGCTAATGGTTTTCCAGAAACGGTCACAGGAATCAATACCTGGGATTCGTAGATATGTCTTTTTTCTTCTCTGAGAGGTTCAGGGATGAATTGATGATTCTTCACTACTTTGGGTCTACTCAATGTAGAAAAGGGAGGAAGTAGTGACACACTCTTTGGCTCTTTGACCTTCGGATTTTTCTTTGGATCTTCATTAGTAGTGGTTGAAGACACCATTGTTAAGGACTTGAAGAAAATGGGTTTACTAAAGGTGAAGAGTTAAGAGTGTTTGAAAGAGAAGAAAGTGTTTAGTGAGTGCTTTGGAGTTGGAAAAGTAAAAATAGTTTCTGAAGAAACTATTTATAAAGTGTGTAGAAGTAATAAAAGGTTACTAATCATCATTAGGGGCTAAAAGCTAGTGGGACATGTGGCCTTCCATGAGAAAATTAGTGGAGGTGACAGTTGTTACCTATGCCCACGATCTCATAGATTCTAGGAGAGGTGATGATGGTTTAGGATTTGATGTGATTTCTAAGGAGTTGTTTTTCATAATTGGGCATGACGTCATGAATATGATTGAAAAGAAACTGAACAATTTCTTGATATGTGGGTTGGTCGGTTACGTTGAAACCTATATGGGGTCGAAAGATGGCGTTCAATAGGACACTATTAAAAATGACCTTTTTCTTCAGTACTGTCGAAAATGACATTTTTGGCGGGCAATTTGTTAACTCAGAAATTCGACGCCCATATTAAGTTGGAAGTGTTAATTGGAATGTTAAACTCTTGAAGAGGTTTGAAGAAGTTTTCGACTAGATCTTCATGATAGGTTTAAGTCGAAGTTGCTCACAAAAATGATACTTTTTGGACTTAGAAAATATTTCTAAGAGTTGGGAAGCTACTTTCGACCGAGAATACTGATGATGTCCGACGCTAAGGGAATTTAAAATTCAAATAAAGGATGGAGTAGTTATTCTTGTCCACTCCTGAATAAGACAAGTGGCGCACATCCAAGAGACAGAAGCATGCAGCGCGACATTTGTCATATGTTAATTGTTTTAGGAAGTTAACAGCAGTTAGTTTTGTTACTATAAATAAGAGTTCTAGCAATAGGATTATGGGTAGTGTTCACTTTGTACAAGTTACTCCAGATTTACTCAAAGTATCCGCGTGTAGAGGAAAGAGTCTTGGGAGAATGTACGTGATGTAAATACCATTTTCTTCTTTAATGCAATTTACTTTAACTTTTCATCAAAAATTTATCTTTTATTTTATTGCAAGTTACGTTTCAGTATTGTGTCTTACTTTTTCAACCTTTCTTTGATGTCTTCAGCCTTTTTTTTTCGATTTAATGTTCTTGCGTTTCTTTCGAACCATACTTTTAGATAAACTTCTCTTTATGAACACTGTCGAAGTGTTTAGTCTTCAGAATTTACTTTGAATCAATTGTTAGCACATGTCATGGGATCAATCTGATCGATCCTGTAAGTCACCAAAGTTATATTTGGAAGATCAGCGGTTGTTTACCAATTTTCACGGGAAACACCTTCATGATGACCCATCAATCGTATCAGGGTCTAGTTCGATTAAAGGACCGACTCCTTGTATCGAAAATCTTCTTGACATGGTGGGGGTCAGACGACGTGCCTCATTGAAGTATCCTTGATGACACTGGGATGTATGTCAACAGAGGTACAAGTATGTTGATGAAAGACTTTTCGCTTAAGGAGAAACATAATGGATGGACCCGCACTTGAAGGGAAGATTGTTGATAAATAAGTGTGAGTTGTGTAAGCCCCACATTGCTTAGAAAAGTGGAGGTTGAACACTTTATAAGTGAGAGGTCTCATACACCCATTGCCTTAAGATTTTGGGTAAATATGTTGTGTTTCATTCATTTTTTTGGGCGAGTCTTTGACCTTTAGGTGCTTTTTTTACCAATGTAAATGTTCTCCCTCATGGTGGTGGTCAGACGACGTATCTCATTAAAGTGCTCATGATAAGATTATGGTATCTGTCAACGGCGGTACAAGTATGTTGATGAAAGAACTTCTGTCTGTGGGAGAGTATAATGGATGTATTCACACTTGAGGGAAGACTTTTGAGAAACAAATATAAATTGTGTATGTCTCGTACTACTTAAAAAGTGAATGTTCAATACTTATATAAATGAAATGACTCGTCCATCCATTATCTTAAATTTTTTTTATTAATATATAATATCTCTTATTTATTTAAATA